GAAAATACCTCTTGAATATGATTGTCAACAAAACGTGTTCTCGATTATATCAACCTTTTCCTTTGGTGTCTGTGAAATAAGAGGGACTGGTTGAAATAACTGAAAAGGTGTTACCATCAAAGTTATTAGTGTTTCTAGTTGATTACTGACGCATCATGGTATAGGAGTGATACTTCGTTTTGGAATACCAAGCAGGAGATTTTTAAGTTATGCAAGTAAACATATCTTCATTATCAAGTTATGAGTAGAATTTTGTTTCAGAACTGATATTGAAGCGATGAAGAGTTCTCAATGTCGAACCGTGAAAAATGACCATCTCGATTCATTCAACAAGTCAAATCAAAACCAAATCAAATCACTTTATTTCTTTAAGACAACATAGTCGTCTAAGAAAGAGTCATGGTTACAACCGCATGGTAGTACGGTCGGGATTTAAATGAAGAAATGTACAAAAGGAACATAACAGTACATTAAGGATTATATAACACTACGAAGACATGTTCACATATACATATACATAATACACAGAATATTGACTTAATAAAAATACTGATTCACATTAAATAAAAATTCAAGTTAAAAGTATCCATTTAAAGCGTATAGACATTTCTCAACCAGGTATTCTTTGAGTTTTTTTTTTAAAGTACGTTCATGTTTTAAGCTTTTAATTGAGGAAGGTAAGTTGATGAAAATCTTTGCGCCGATTCGAGCTGGAGCTTTAAAGGAAATATTGCGTTTAGAGAGTGTTAATCGTAAATCATCCTTACGACGTGTGTTGTATTTGTGAAAATCGTTATTTATGAGAAAAAAATCCCTATTTTTGAACACAAAAATACAGACTTCAAATACGTAGAGGCCTGTACAGGTCAGAATTTCAAATCTTTTGAAGATTTCTCGACAAGAATGGTCTTTTTTCACTCCAGCAATACACCTAATGATTTTTTTCTGTGATACGAGGACGTTATTCGACAGTGTAGAGTCTCCCCATAGGCAAATACCATACCTCAGTCGACTTTTCACTTGTGCGTAGTATGAGTTTATTAATTGTTGCTGTGTCAAAACAACTTTGAGATTTCTGAACATATAGTGGAGAGATGAAAGTTTGGAAATCAGGACCTTGCAATGTTCTTTCCAATCTAAATGTGAGTCAACGAATAGTCCTAAGAATTTACAGCTGTTATTTATAGGCAGAGGTGTGTTATTCAAAATTATATCTACATCTACCAATTCCCTCTGATGACTATGGAATTTCACAAGGTTAGTTTTGTATGCATTAAAATAAAGAGTGTTTTGATTGAACCAAGAAGTTAGTTGGCATAGAGCAGTTTCACAGATTCCTTTTAGTTCTATTTGATTTTTGTTGGAAATCAGTAGAGAGGTATCGTCTGCATAAATAGTCATCTCAATATCCGGAAAGGAATTTGAGATTTCATTTATGTACAAAATAGAAAGAACTGGGCCCAAAATAGATCCTTGTGGAACACCTATATTAATATCAATATTGGCAGATGTAACATTACGAATTATATTATTTTGAGGATGTTTCAGACTCACATACTGAGAACGACATCTAATAAATGATTCTAACCATTCCAGACAAACACCTCTAATACGATAGTTATACAACTTTGTTAAAAAAATATCGTGGTCCACACAGTCGAAGGCTCGACTCAGGTCACAGAAAATGCCCATTGGGACCTCTCCTTGTTCTATATGGTTTATGAGATTGTCATAGAACTCATAGATTGCGCTAGTTGTTGATTTACCCGGTCGAAAACCGTGCTGGCTATTTGTCAAAATATTATGTTCATTGATAAAATATATGCATTGTCAATATTATTAATTTGATAAAGTTCACTCCAGTTTTCATTACGGTAAAGTGTAAAGCGACTGTAGTCATTTTATATTTGTTGACTGGTTTGCGTTGAATATCTTCGAAAATGTTAGTTTCTATGCCGTTATTTTCTGTGGAGGTGATATGCAAAAACATCTTAAGATGACCACTTGGTGATCCAAACACGTGTCGAAGTGTTAAAATTATGGCATCGAAAGCATTCTGAAGATCAAGAAAAACACTAAAAATAGTACCTATTTTCGAGAACAGCTATTTCTGCTTCTTTTCGAAAATGATGCTGTGAATATTCGTTCAATCTCATCTGGTGATGAAGAAAATGGAGGAATCAATGAGGAAAATGTAACGTGAAAACTCGAAGTTTCCACGGTGAAGGAAAAATTGGACTTTTGATGTGCAGGAATATTCAAAAATGATCACTTATAAATGGCAAATCAGTTCGGAAGAAAATATGATCAATATATGCTTTTGTACAACTCTAAATTCCTATATAGCCCGTTGGACAACCTTTCTTCCCGAGTATATTATAATGTTTCTTTTGTTACAGTTACAGCCCGTAAAATGATGAAGACTATTATAGATACCTAATTGATATCTTGTGAATATCAAAGATTGATGATTGTTGATTTTGTTTTTATACAGTAATCTGTATCCACCGTGTTTTTGAGCAAGGGTCATGACAGAGGATCGTCGTAATACATGTCTGTATCATTTTATTTCAGATCTGTTCTCCTGTTGAATTGTGAATTGAATTCTTGTTTCAGAACAGATCTGGAAAAATGGAAATATTGGAAAATAGAGAGAGCATTCACAAGGTGAGTATTGCATTGAAATATTTATACAAGCTTTATGGCAGAAAGAAGAAGGCCTTTACGGAACATCGAAGTGCCTTTTGTTGGCTGCCAAAAATAATAATTTCCTATGACAATTTTTTCAAATGTTTAGATTTTGAATATGGAAAGACCTCAATGGGAAGACACTAAATTCATGAATTCTCCGTTTTCATTTCAAACCATAAGATTGATTTTCAGGTCAGTTTGGTAACCAGATATGATAAATATTTGGAAGACTACAAAATGAATGTTGTCTATGTGGAGTTGATTCAAAAAGTTCCCGAACGTGACAACTTTTACGGCACAGTATCTGAAAAAAGAATCCTACCTTCGCCCATTATGAAGGGTCTTCCATAGAATGACTTTTCCAATGATAACAAGAGCTCTGCAAAGAAGAGAAACCACCACCAGAAGTGTAGCACCGGCGCACCAACGAATCCATTAGACTGTTAAACAATCAAAACTTCAACAGTATTGATTGAGTGTATCAAATCGAGATTTGGTATGTAGATAAAGTACGTGGAAAAGAGAGTTATCGCATAATTTTTCACTTTCCAGGCTCTTCATGTTTCACAGAAAATGACGCCTAAACAAAACTCTAAAAAAGTGAATCAGGCGTGAAAACTGAGTCAAAGCTATTTTTCGGGTTTGTTGCCGTGGTCTGCAGATTTCTATGTCGAGGAAGACATTTTCAAAGGGGATGAGCAACCGGAAATCTTCTGATAATGTCTACCGCAATTGTCAATGAAATGACGGGCAAGAAAATTGTGAATCACGTACAGAAACCCGGAAAGTAGCTTTGATATAATTATATCCTACCAAGAAAGGCACTTTCAGACGTAAACACTTTTTAAAATGTCACACTCTGATCCGGAATTGGCTCAGAAATCCTGTAAATGTTAAAGTATAAAGGGTATGCCATTCAAAACCAGAGTCATTCTTGAGGAAAACAGAACTGAACTGAAAAAAACTGACATTATAGAACATGAGTAACAATTTCAATCAGTTTATCCTGATAAACCTATGTGTAGAAACGTACTTATCAATATGGTTTTAGTCCTACTGCTAATGTACTTTTTTTCTAGACATGAAAAAATCAGTTGATGCTACTAAGAAGAGAAGGAAACTGAAATTAACACTTGTGTAAAGAGCTCAATATCAAATACATGGAATCGGTCTTTTCAGTTGTTCTAGGATGTTTCGGAAACTGACTAGAAGCAGGTTCAGATGTGGAAAGCAGAATTGATAGATAATTGTCAAACAATGAAAATTCACCAGGTGATTATTTTATAAAAAAATACTAGCCTTGTGGCAGAATGAATGAGGCCTTTTTAGAACATCAAAAGACTATTTTCAGACTGCCAAAATCAAAATTCCCAATCTCTACTTTTACAAACTTTCGATTTTGAATAGAAGAAGTCAGTGGGAAGACACAAAATTCATGAATTTTCGAATTTCATATTGTATCATAAAAAAAATCAGTTAATTGCTTAGATGTGGAAAACTGGGTAGATGTATAAATGTTTCACATTTAAATTAGAACTCGATATTTTGCTGAGGTAATTTCCATTTTCCGAAGATAATTTTCAGTGTAGATCAAGAGACATATATGGTTTGTGTTTGATTAGATAATTTTGTGGATAACCTATCTTTATTATTCATCATTTTCATATTCTGATGATATTGCATTTCTGGTGATTGGAAAAAATGTTTGTTTTGGACACATTTTGTTGAGTTCTACAGTTTTCCATTTCTTGACATTTCATTTCAAATTGTTGTTAATAGTTACTACCAAAATTTTGTTGGAGTATTTTTCTGTCAGAAAATCAACTATATTTTCAAAATTTATTATAGTTACTATTGTTTACTGCAACTTCAATACTACTGTTGAGTAATTTGGTATGTTTTTATTCTAGAAATTGGGAAATGAATCGAGGTCACCAGATTCTGTTATCTTTGAGCTGTAAGTGTTCTCCATAGCCCCTGCACAAAATGTGAAACTGTCCCATTTTGTGCTGGAGCCATGGAAATCATTTCTGTTCAAATACAACCGCTTCAAGAAATAGGAGGAACTACCATCATAAACGACGAGTTATTATTTCAATTCCAAGGGCACATCCGACTCTCTGATAAGATACAACGTAAAGAAGCTACAAACAAAAGTTTGTGGTCAAATCGTAAGCTGTAGTTTATGAAATGATAATTTACTGTTTTTTCTAGGCATCAAGAATCAGTTTGCTTGCCACAAGCTATCGGACCCGAGAAGAAAAATGTGAAAACAATTTGTTTAAGAAACTCATTTGAGGCAATTTTCGTTTCAGCATCAAACACGTGAGATGGCCACAGATTTTCTAGGATTTTAAAGTGTTATATGATGCTATCCAAACTTCATCTTGATTTTCAGAAGTCTGTGAAACTTTGAAATAAGGATGAGTCAGTTTCACAGGTTTCTTCAATATCAATGATTTTGCATGTGTATCCATCAAATTGCAATTTTATAGTTTGAAAGACTGACGGGATTCTCAACATTTAACAGGAAATTTCAGGTATTCATTCAGATAACAACGGCTTCTGAAATATTCGTCATTTGTCAATTCGGATCATTCAACAACTCGAACATGAATATTGAGAGCAGACTTTTTTCATATGAATAACTCTCCCGAGCACAGGACAGGGAAAATTCGAGTGCAGGCGGTTTTATCTCAATCACCATTTTCGTCATTTAGCTCAGAAAGTGGGGATAGAGATAAAGTCACTCGTGCTTCACATCTTCATTATCATAATGACACCTCAATGGAGATGGCTGTTTCTATTTGCTGAATAATCAAGTTCTGCCAATCACTGTCAAGTAGGTCCTCCAAAATTCCAGGCTCTTCATGTTTCACAGAAAATGACGCCTAATTCGTTTTTTGGAGTCACTTTTAATGATGCGTCTATAAAGCAGATTTTTTTCATATGAATAACTCTCCCGAGCACAGGACAGGAAAAATTCGAGTGCAGGCGGTTTTATCTCAATCACCATTTTCGTCATTTAGCTCAGAAAGTGGGGATGGAGATAAAGTCACTCGTGCTTCACATCTTCATTATCCTAATGACACCTCAATGGAGATGGCTGTTTCTATTTGCTGAATAATCAAGTTCTGCCAATCACTGTCAAATAGGTCCTCCATTGCCAAGTAAGGTAGTTTTTCAAGATGGGTCTCATGCTTATTGTTATTAACTTTCCAGGTCGATGGATTGAATGGAGGTGGCCACTCAGATTTCCCGATTCAACCCCACTGGACATTTTCTATAGGGATGGTTGCACTCAAAAGGCTCTGAAGGACGCAACCAACTACTGCAAGAAAAAATTATCTGGTACTGTATACTATTAACACCTGTATTGTTTGAAATGTAATTGAGGAAACAGAATCTTGTTCATACCTTTGTGCGACAGTTCGAACATTTCATAAATTATTTGTTTCTGTTTACTTTTTCACTTTCTAGTTCAAAATCGAACAAAAGAAAAACATTCTCATTTTTTCCGGACATTACTTACAGTTGTAATATCGAAAATGTTACAGTGTTGGATAAAAAATTATAAAATCAAATAATGTGTCACTCGTCTGTTAATTCCGTTTGAAATTTCTGACATTAGGGTTGTGGGACGAGGGGTTGATTTTCCCATGAAAATTAAATATGACATATTTCACGATGACTGCCGCAGTAGCAGACGAAACTTTCGTTACTTCAGGTTCCATTCGACCATTTTCTATCAGCCCGGATTTGATTTCCTTTGCTAGAAAAGTTAATGATGGATATAAAAAAACCTGGTGCTTAGAAACCTTCAAAACGAATTATTATGTCTGAATAACTATGAATCAATATTAAATTTGTTTGAATATAGCAAACAAACTCGTACTAGAAGATATCTCCACTATAAATCTACTCATCATGCATTGAGATTGGAAAGGGATAATTTTAAAAACGTTAATCATCTAAGAAAAGCACATAAATTTTAGTTTTCCGAAGAATTTCTTCACAAAATTTGTAAATACGATAAGATACTGACTAATTGGATTCTTCAGTAGTTTATTTTTTACACGGTTACTTTCAGAGTGAACTAATAATAATAATAACTCTCCAGTTTGCGCTTTATTACACTTTTGCAGTTTCTCTGTTTCTTCATTGATTCATCTCTCATTATTTTTCAGATCGTGAAAGGTGGAAAACCCTGAATAGGACAAGAAACAATAGCTTCTCCACAAAAAATATGTTTATTTTTTTATGTAGGTGATTAAATGATACACGATACATTTACAATTGTCTTAGATACAATATTTGTGTTTCTTTGAATGAATTATTTATTCAATTATAATTGTATTATAAATTATTTTGAGTATTTTCGAGTTTTTGTTTAAATGAGCAATTACTACTGCTGTCTACGTCAGCAAAAGCAATTCAACTATAGTACAATTCAATGATAGTAGCCACTAAATTCTCAGAAATATTATTATATTGAAACGAAAACATTGTTAATTATAATAATAGGTCTTTATTTCCAGAATATGCAATAAATATGGGTGAACATTTACTTATTTATCATAAGTTTTCCTCATCTCTTTAGTATAATATCCGCACGCCACTGTAAAAGACAGATTAAGGCAAAAACATCAGTCATTTTTAAGAATTCAGTGTCTACTATTTTAGAATTGAAGTATAGTGAAATATATCATATATTGAGGTAGAGGTCTGTGAGTCGTTTTTTGGAGCTANGAATATTCTGGAATTAATAATAATTTTCTACAGAACTCGCCTTCCAGAAAAATTAACCCTGAAGGTGGTCATTACCTTGTCGACGAAACGCTGTGAAATAATGTGACAACAAAGAACGCGACAAGTTGAAATTCTTCTCCAATTACAGGTATGTGAACAGTAAACTAAATATAGTTTTATAATACGTTCAGAAAAGCCCAGGGGGTCTCTCCTTTTATTACCATTATTCAAAGCTAAAAAATGTATTCCAATTAAAAAGCATACCGCCGCTGACTCGATATATCAATCTATAAGAACGCAGCATGGGACATCGTCCATGGGACTCGAACGTAAATGTGCATTAATATTGAACAGAAAAAAATAAATAATGCTAAATTATACACAATATTTACATGAATTAGATCTTCTTCGTATAACGTTTCCTGATTTATCACACATCTTGATATACTGTTTCACCACGAGTGTAAATAAATACGTGAGAATTAGCCATCTCACTCTCTAGTCGGCTAAAACTAGTCCAAATAGGGATGTGTATTACTGAATGGAATTTTTTTTGTTCATTAAAGTAAATTTATGGTTTCTTCTCCTGTTTTCATGAACTTCTTGGTATTTATGTTTGTTCAAACATGTATGCGGCTTCCTTGAATTTTCTCCTAAACCAATGTTCCTCTCTGTTCCTCTCCCAAGCTGAGGTCTTGCACAGAGAGGACCATTGGTTT